GAATAATAATTACACCGAAATAATTCAAAGAAAGATTCGGTTCAGGGAGTATGAAAAGAATTGAAGGAAAGAAAGATAAAAAAAAAAAAAAAAAAGAAAGGATAGAAAGAACGTATTAAGCGGAACATTACACTAACCCCACCCCCATCCCCCCGCCTCCTATTCTAATTATCATCGAACTAGGGGTACGATCTTAACATTGTTTTTCGCGTCACGTATTTAAGTACTTTCGCATTAGGTCGACGACGTCAGCGAACGTGATTCTTTTTTTTTCTTCTTCTTTTTTTTATTCTCTTCCAACTTGAATAAAACTAGTCGAGCAAGCAAGCAAGCAAGCAAGAGAACTAAACTCGGATGTTGAGAAAAGAAAGAAGGAAAGAAAGAAAGGGAGCCAAGTTTGGGGTTGGGAGGACGTTCATCTCGAATTCACGATATCTGGATAATTTAAAACGACAAATTGTGATTTAACTTTGGTCTAACTTGTGCCAGAATATTATCGCGAATATTATTACATTAGTATAATATTCTTATTCAAGTTATATCACTGAAAATAGTTAAACGAAAACAAATCCAATAATAAGAAGGCTTGACTTCTTTAAAAAAAAAAAAAAAAAGAAAGAAAATGTATACTTCACGTTCGAGATTAGATATTCGTGCGACAAGAGGGCGGGAGCCGGGGGGATTGGTTTAAAGAAACCGGAAAATAAAAGAAATAATAACGGGTTATTATTTTTATTTTAGAATCTATTTTTTACGTGTGTAGAAAAGGAGAGGATTTATTATTCGGAATAAATATATATATATATAGTAATATTATAAATGGAAATACATTTGAAATTTGATACTTGATATTTTGCCAGGAATACATTCGATAAGGTAAAACAAATGCACACGTGTGACCTGCTAACCCCCTCCCCCCTCCCCACTCCCCCACCCCACACCGTTACATTAGACTCATTATTGTTTCATATTGAAATTTTAATTTGAAATCTTTTGCACGTTTATATATTAATACATTAGTATTACCATTAAGTTTAAAAATAAAAAGAGAGAGAGAGAGAATAAATTTTTATTCGTAACATTTTGATGAATTTATTTGTTATCAGTTATTCCACTTTCCTTATGCCTTCCGATTAAACCTATACCCGGGTTAGTTACTTAAAAACTTTTTCAATTGTTCTTATATCTCCTTCATTATCCCACAATTACTCTTAGATCACAAATATCATAGAAATAATAAAAGAAAAAAAAACTGATGTGTGTTACTTATGTACGCACGTAAGAAGTTATACTTCTTTAGCATACCAAAACGAACATAACCTCAATAACCTCAAAAATAACTTCAATTTGCGCGCGCATCGTAAATATCGACAACTTCGTGGTGTTGATTTTTTCGATCGCATCTAACCTCACTTTCCAAAACGTGCCAAAAGAAGTATAACTTTAACAAGAAAAATAAAAGAAATTAGGAACGATTGTGCGAATTAATAAGATTTAATTTCTGTTTGTGCAGATATCATCAATTTATTTCGTTCGGTCAAGAAAAAACGATCGTGCAGTATCAATATTATCAGCATAATCATCATCATCATCATAATAATAATCAGCATCATCATCAGCAGCAGCAGCAGTAAAAAGAACAGCAGGAACTGTTTGAAGAGACAACGGTTTCTCATTTAAACAGAATTTTACAATGAACAAGGAACCATTGTGTTGGGGTAGAGGGTGCCTCGCGTGACACACGTATTTCCTCGGTTTTTTTTCACCAGGAGACGAAGTGTCCTGGTCTCGTTCGGCCACGCTTCGTCTCCTTCTCCTCTTCCTTTTATTCTTCTCATTCTTCTACTTCTACTATTTCTATTATTTATATTCATTTTTAAACATCACTTTGTATTTTTTCTTATCTTTTTCTTACCAATTAATTCTTATTTTTATCATCAACAACAACAACAACAACGAGAACATAATCATCAGTCATTTATTATTTTCATTAGAACACTTTCGTTAGATTTTTGTCTGGATTTTTGTTTGGAAGTAACATCCCCCTTTACGACGAGGATAAGCGTACCAGGGTGGCACGATTAGTATGACGGTGATGCTGCTGCAACGTTCGGTCACCCCGCAGTCGACGCACCGCCAAAAGACAGCGAAGGAGGACTGCAGCACGATACCGCCATTTATTTTTTTGCTTGACGATCGTCAACAAGAACATAGGCGATTTACCGACGCCTCAATCATCACGACCACTAATAATAATAACAATAATAACAATAACAATAATAATAACAATAATAATAATATCATCAACAACTTCAACAACAATAATTACGAAAACAGTTACACTCCTACGACCAATAACAACAACAATAATAATATTAATAATAATAATAATAATATTAATAATAATAATAATAATTACGAAAACGGGAAAATAAATAATATAGTGAAGAGGAGCGTACGTAGGAGCAGCGGAAGCCGCGAATACGCGCTCGAGGAGGCCCCGGTTTCGGTGACGTCTTCTCAAAGACGCACCCCAGGTGGCCAGGAGGTCGCAATGCGATATTATCGGATTTGGATTTACGCCTGTAACGGGGTATTATTCTTCAGCGCTGCCGCATTTGCCGCAGTCGTATCAATGTCTATAATATTCACCGGTGATCCTAGGAGACACCTAATACCTGGCGTACCAAGGGCCTTCGATCCGACGGCACTTTATGCTTACTTAGCATTGGGTACACAATTGGGACTAGTACAATTACTTGGTTGCGTTGCCGTTAGAAGACTCAGCGCTAAATTGTTACACGTATATTGGGTCTTACTTTTGGTACTGTTATTAGGGGACATCGTTATTGGTATCGTTTGGGTCTTCCGTTCCAAAGAGATGAACAACCAATTGAGGCCCACCCTAAGCCTACGATTACAGGTTCGATTTATATATCTTTCTTTATCTTATTTAAGAATTAATCAAAGGTTCGTTAGTTTGTTGTGTTACATATATTGCATAATGCATTGATTGTTTGTTTTTGTTATAAATTTATACTTTGAAAATATTCATTTAAACAACTCACGAGCTTTTGATTCGTTCTATATAATATTTATATGTTTTTTTTTTTTTTTTTTTTTTAATACTTCCCAACTAATACTAAGAACTTTACTACTATTACCACTATATATACGTGTTACTACATTATGATATTCTACTGTCGTCCAGCAAGGTGTAGGAAGAGGGAGAGGAAGGGAGTTTCTACTGTAAATTATCCCTGTCACGTGTTCCCCGTCTTATGAAAACGCTTTACCATCGGACTTAACGATTCATAAACTTCTCCTTTCGTCCTTATTACGAATCCATATTTACTTCGTGTAATCGTAAGATACGAAAACTCATGCGACACACACACACATATATATATACGCAAAGTAATTAAAATCTGAAATTGGAATCAAATTTTTGTGTAAAAAAATCTTAATGGATTATAAAATATTATCTTTCAAGTAGATTATTATAATATGTAAGGAAGAAAAAAAAATATAAACAAGAAAATAAAAGATAATCAAGTTCATTTATTTTTTCTAAAGATTTACCTTTGACATAAATACGAAGTAAGAAAAATATAAACGAATGTATGTATGTGTGTGTGTGTGTTAAGAACACACTACGCTACCCTTTTGAATAAGCGAGAAACGAAGTTCCCTTTTTTTTTTTTATTATATTTCAAACGTGTATAAGTGGAAGAAGAGAACTTAAAAGAGAGTCAAGGAGTTCGATAGGTGGTGTGCCGTCGTTTTCTTTTTTTTCTTTTTTTTTTATTATTTTTAAATTAAAGGAGACTCTATTATAACACCTTACAGTTGATTAGTACCATTCTCCGTGTATGGTGCTTGATATTGAAAGATAAATAAAATAAGAAAAAGAAAAATAACTAACTCGAGTGAGTAATAAAGTTAATGATGAATCTACCATACGATGATGATGCCTATAATACATCAAACGTTCTTACAAATTAAAAGGTATACCAACAACGACCCCCTCCTGACCCCCAATTATAATTTTACATGTACCTTTTTTTCTTTTTTGTTTAACACGATCGATGTTCAAATTCTAATGTAAGAACAACATTTTTTTAAATAAACTCATTATTTCTTATATTATTCTCAAGACTTCTATTTTTTTTGCGATAAATTTAATATATACGTATACAAAATTTATATATATATATAAATAAATATAATTTCTTACACGAGTATATTTCGGTAACGTGTCTATCCTGTAAAACAAAAAAAAAGAAAAGAAAAAATCATAATTAAGCGTGTACACTCGTTTAATTTCAAATACATAGAATAAATAGATACATATATATATATATATATAGATATATCTATTTATAGAATAGATACGTAGAATACGTAGAATACATATACATATATATATATATATATATATATACATTCTACGTTAGTTGGATTGACGAATTGATCGATATAAATCGATCGATATTACACGAACCAAGGTGAAACGTAACGATTCCTCTTCTTCCACTTCTTATTTTCTTCTTCCATTTTACCTCTTCTCTCTCTCTAAATCTTTTTTATCTTATATAGAGAGAAAGAACATTTTCCTTCTCGATATTGCATTACTACTACTACTACTACTACCACCACCACTACTACCACCACAAAAGATTCACCAAGGAGAACCAATTTGGTGACAGAGACAAAGAAGACCGTAACAGTTCGAAACCAAAGAGAAAGAGAGAAAGATAGAGAGAGAGAGAGAAAGAGAGAGAGAGAGAGATAGAGATAGTTCGTCTTATGTTAAGGGTGGTATGAATCGGGTACGATTTATGACGTTCCACGAAAGGTCAAACGATTCTCCATTTTGTCCACCTGGTTGGAGGATAAATGACCTAAAGGAGGAGAACTCCTTTCCCTCAATCGGGTTGGTTGTCTGCGAGACGATATACCTCTTTGTTCTTCTACCCTTACCCTTACCCCTTTTCCTTTCAACTATGTAGTACCATGTGTAATGATATCTAGACTATAGTCCGACAACTGGTCAGTTATTCATACGATAAATATCGAATACGGAATCCCGAATGAGAAACCTAGAGAGTGTTGTCAACGATTTATCACTGACTTAACGTTTAAACAATACTACCCCCTCTTACCCCTTGCCGCTCTCGTTCAATTTCAAAACGTGCCCGAATTTCTCGAGTGTTTCTGTCATCTTTTTACGAAAAAAAGAAAAAGAAGAAGAAAAAAAATGAAATAGGTGAGAAACACACTCGCCCGGGTCATTTTTTTTTATTTCTTTTTTTTTTTTTTTTAATCGTTCGTCACGCGTTCGATGGGGAATTTTTTTTCTTTTNAAAAAAAAAAAAGGCAAAAAGTACGAAAGAGAAAATATACCTATACACACACGTTGCTGACAAGGTTGTATTTTTATCTGCGAAACAGTTTTATATCCATAAAGAAAAACATCGAGAGGATTACAAAAAGCTGAGAGAAAATATATACCGATCGATAAAAGTTTATCCTTTAAAAGAAGAATAAGAATAAGAATAAGAAGAAGTAGTAGTAATAATAGTACTAGTAGTAGTACTAGTAGTAGTGTAGTAGACAAAAAAATAATATTTTTCTTTTAATCTTCCCACACAACGACAAAGATACAGACACCACGAATGGGAACGTTGTTAAGCTCCCCTCACCCTCCCCCTTCCTCCTCTACCCACCATAAGTTCGTAAAACAATTCTCTCATTATTCTTCGTTGTATAAAGAAACACAAGACAAAGTTGTTTAAACTTTAACTTATAATCGAATAAAATATAAGACTCTCTTTGAAATTTGCTAGTCTAAAATACGGGTAACCAACCAACCACCACCATTACCACCATTACCACCACCACCACCATTAGAGTAAGACGGCTAGGATTGATATACGATTCTCTTTGAACATTGGATTGATATATAGTTGAGGTAGACTACTTCTAGTAAGGACATTAACCCTTGAAATTCGGTCAGGTATAAACCACCCCTAGGTAGTAAACTCTCATCCTTACTTGCCAAATATTCTTCCTTTCAAGTAATTTTTTATCGAATAAATATATATAAAGATTGTTCAATTTTTGTTTCTTCTAATTTTTACGTTCACGCGTTAAATGAAACAATTTAAATGTAATAGACAACTTTGTATAATTTTAATGTATTATACTTTGACTGTTCAAGATTTTCTAGAATAAACAGTAGATTTTACGAATAATACGAGTTGTTATATTTATTCAAAGGGTTTGTTCAAAAGACAAAATGTAAATATTTTCTCGTTGAGTTTGTAAATAAAAGTATAACTGTATGGTAATGCTTGGGGAGTTTGTTTTAGGGAATTAAAAAAGGACGACTTGTAAGCTGATATAATAAGAGGGGTTTTATGATAGTTTTGAGATATTCAGATTTAGCAGTCTTACACTGTTACAATAACAATAATAATAATAATAATAATAATAATAACGATAAAATACAAAAAGTATAATAGTGTTGAATGAAACGTGAAAAAAAAATCAAACATTATTACACATAACCTCAAATTAATAATATCATTATAATTTAGCTTGGAAATAATCGAGAGATATAATAAGGTTAAAAAAAAAAACAGAAAAAAAGAAATTAATACTTCACAACGTTTATCGAACTCTTAAAGCGAATACCGTATTACCGGTGAACCGGTTGTTGAGATAAAAATAGTAAAGATATTATTCTTTTGTCAGTGGCACCATTATGTTGGCATCCATTTTGTCATTACACGTTGAGAAAATGGCTTTTCTTTGGTAGCGACCGAATCAACGCCACCGAGAGAAAAATTTCAGGACAATTCTAAACCACTACCATTACTACTACTACTACTACTATTACTACTACTATTATTATTTTCCTATTTTCTCTCTTGTTGCTTAAGAATTATATATATATATATATGTTCAAGATGAAAAACATAGAAAGAAATACGCATATATACACATTACACCCACCAACTCACACAAAACAATCTCACCACCACACAACCACGATCATTAGTATTTTCTAGATACGTGTAAATACGTGTTTGTATTAGTCACAATGTAGCTCATACATAAGAAATGAATAATGCGCTGACGTTGGTTGGCTGCGGTTGGCTGACCCAGCACAAAGCTTTATTCTCATGCCACTTTACGCGTTATCTCGTTCTTCTATCTTCTCTCGAATGATTCCGGTGTAAAACGGTAAAACAGAGGATAAGCTTTGAGGCCGAAGAATTACACCACCCACCTCCACCTTCCTTTCTTTAAAATGTCATCGGAGAAAATGTGTCGAGCTAGTGAATTTTTCTAAACATTTTTCTCGCTACGTTGTTCACGTACTCGTAAGATTTATACTCTTCGCGTTTCTCACAAAGATGTTATATATATATATATATATTTTTTTTTCTTTTTTCTTTACGCGTATTTTAAATAGTATTGTTAGGGTGAAATCAAAAAGGTTCGTGCATTTTTAAATTAATATTTCATTTGCATACAAAGACAAAAAATTGCATTATCTGAAACAAGACAATAAATGCACAATAAATCACCCTAATATAATTATATATATTATATA